ATATTGGGTGACGCGGAGATTCGACCCCGCGACCCGCAGATTGCGAGTCGAGCACCCTAACCACCTGGCCATGCCGGGCCGTCTTTAATGTTAATGTCATAAACGTCGTAGTTTTGCACTCGTATAGAACAATGCACATTAAACATCGTTCACTTTCGCATTCCTATAACAAGTAAAGTACCACTGTACAATTAGTAAATGTGGTTTCCATCTGCGTTAGCACGCTTACACGCACGTACGGACTGACACACATTATTCTTTTATTACATAGAGGGAATATTAAGTTGGGTCGATCTGGAAAAGAAAATTCGCTCAAAACAGCTCGTTTGTAATTAATATTATTCTCTTGCCAGCCTACAGCAAAAATGGTTTGGTATATTGCACTCAAACGTTTTGGTGAATATTAACTAAGGCACTGCGAAGGCCGTAAGGGTATTGAAAATCCTATTTGTTTCTTCTATATTTTACAAAGCCTAAAAAAACATTCTAATTCTAGTGTAAACGATGTTATTATTAACCCTTGAAGTTAGTTTTCTTATAACCATTTGGTATTCCTTCAAAATGGTTACATACAGGGTGAACCTTAATTACCAGCGAATAATTCGATGACTGTAACAAGTAGATACTCCATGCTTTGTGCACTATACACTCGGTGTCTTTAGGGAGCCACTCCATATACTACATATGAAGTGAAGAAGTAAACACACACAAAATCAGTACACATAATATTGAATTTTATCCCACAGATTCATAGAATAATTACTTTAAAAGACACGAAAATTTATCTAAAGTGATGTTTTAGACGTATGTGTTTTATTTCAAAAGGCTGCTTTTTTACTGGTAAAATTTTATACACGCTTATTGGGGGTTGTGTCGCTATGCATTATATATAGAGAATTTAATTATACAGGATCTATAAATGCTCACTATATTCTCAAACAAATCTTAATGACAATCTCCAGCTGTAGCTTAACATTTTACATTTACAACTAATGCGACCAAGTAGCCAATAGCTACAGTAAATCATCATGACCGTATCAGCTAGCCACTAGCCATGTTTATTATCATTACAATGTAAAAAGTTAGCTACTATATCAAGTAATCCTTTGCCCTTAGTTAAGCATAGAAAAAAAAGCCAGTAAACAAGATAATTAAAAAATTGGGAATTTAAAAACCTGCAAATAGGGATCGTAAAAAAGGAAGCAAACAAGGATGAAATTACTGTAGACATTATTTACTCAAACTACAAATCCCTATTTTGACTCCACCAAATGTAATTCTAAGTAAAAGCATGGAGCCAAAATAGAGGTTTGTAGTTTGAATAAATATTGTCTACAGAGTCTCCAGACTTGTTTTCCGCCTTTTTTTACGATCCCTATTTGCAGGTTTTAAATTCCCATTAATTACTTATCTTGTATAATAAAAAAAAAAGAGTCGCCTCATTAAAATGAAAACATTTTCTACGTCTTATGTGCTCATATGATAAAAATATAAAATACTTCTCTATTTTAATATTATTTGATGTTACATCTAACATTAGGTTTCAGGTGTAGTGATTTACAACATAAAAAATTGGAATATTTGTTTATTTTAATATATAGTGGATTTATGAAAATTTCAGAGACGGATTATTGTAAACATATAAAACACAAGAAAAGTTTAATAAATATACTGTTTTATCTGTGTGTATGGTCAGAAATGTTCGGAATAGAAATATTATTTTCTTGTATAATATTATATTAGTTAAAATGTAGACTTAGTTTCAATTACTTTAAAATATTCAAAGTACGGTATTGATGAGCATGGGTGCCTAATGGTAAAAGGGGCACATGCTCCCATTTTACAAGTTAGTGTAAATGCATTATATTAAGAACTATGTATTTACACTAACTGGTAAAATAATGTATTTACACTAACTGGTAAAATGGGAGCATGTGCCAGTTAGTGTAAATACATTATATTAAGAGCTATGTTAGATTGATTTAGCATTTTTGCCCCCCTCCTCATTTTCCAACAGTTATGATGATGATGAGTAAAAATTAAGTATCACCAGGTATAGTATCGAATTTTTGTTTCTGCTTTGGTCTCTTTAATCATCATGCTATTTCTTTGTATTTGTGGTGGCATACATATTTATTTATATTTATGGTACAGAGGGTTAACCGCACTTTTTTTAAGGATGATTTGCATATGCCAATGCAGTGGCGTTTTCCAACATGTTTATAACATATATATTGGGTTCCGGCGAATTCCCGATCATTTTGGTGATACAATATTTCCCTGAATGGAACTATGTCTAACGTAATATGAAAATAAGATCCTTAAAAATTGTTTAAAATTTAAAACCACAAGACATGACATGTAGAAGATATTTCTCAGTGTTTTCGATAGAAGTGGAAAAGAAAATTCACACATTAAGGGTTCGGGATAGTAATGGGCTCCGAAACATCATCCAAAGCCTATGATTGCGAAAGAGAACCCTCCGACCCAAAACAATCTATTATGGTGAAGCTTGGCACATCTTCTGGTAGTATTAAAAATAAAATAAACACAGATTTAAAATTAACTAATGCTCACAATCTGAAAATTCATCAACTTCTAGCCAATCTATGGAATCAATGACTATTTTCATGAATACGATGGCTGAGGAGCTAGAATCACAGCAATTCCAATTTTATCAGCTATCCGTGAAGTTTCCGATGCAGCTACAATGGATGTACACGTCGAACGGAAGGTCAATGGAAAGTTTTTCAGGATATGTAGTTTAATATTGACCAGGCTATCCTTCGTAGAAGCACTCTGGAATAGAGATTGTAGTGTTAGTCAAAGATGGAGGAAGTAGTTCTGGACATGTAACATCGTTCTTAATAAGTGCGACAAACCTTTTGTATTCATGTGTTGTGAGCAGTTTTGTCGGAAACTTAGTTTTAGTGCATTAAAGGTAACAAATATAATGTCAGACATGAAATAAAAACAAAGTCATTTTATATTTTTAGCTTTTATTTTACTTTTAAGCGCACAATTTCGCACGAGTAATTGTAAATGTAAAACACTTTTGCTTTGCCTTCAACTGTGTTAAATGAGAATTGGTAGAACACTCTAAAAACACTACTTAATAGGTAGTTGTATTAATTCATATATATATTGTTGTTTGTATTTATTTAAGGACTTATTCAAATATGACATTTTTGTATTATAAAACGCTTAGTATTTGGAATGCTCGTTTATTTTATGCCCATTTCAGTGACAAAAAAGTCAAGAACACCAGTTTCTCGTTTTTTATAGATAAACATATATTTCATGATAGACATTATGGACAGATTGTTTTTTTTGTTCTTTTGAAACACCTCACACCGGAAGTTGGGAAATACCATTGAATGCCAACCATTACATCATTTAAACATGAGGAACAAAAATGTAAAACAGGAAGTGACTTAACAAAATTTACAGATACCAGGTAGATGGTATCGTTTAGTGATGGTTTAAATGAACTGTATTAGTCGTCCATCAGGCTATAAGTAACAGTGGCTATAAATAATGTGGTGTATTGGTCAAATTCATGCTTCTGGTATCATTAGAATTATATTAATTTTGATTATTATAGGTTGTTCTATTGACACCATATCTGGAAATGTAATTACTCCCACTATCCCTGAAGAAGTATTGGGAAGATACAGAAAACTAGGGTAAGTATATTTTATCTAACACATTTTTTACCAAGAAAAATTTGAAACGAAATTATGAAGAAAAAATATCTGATAAAAAATTGGTATTTAATGATTTTATCCAAATTGAGAACTGTAACAAAGTTACGTTGTGACTTTTGTAACAAAACAAAATATTTGGTTCTAAAATTTAGTTATTTCAGGTAACTACAAATCATTAACAGACAACTATGTGATATGAATAAAACACGTTTCGAGTTTTTACTGCTTCATGATACTCTGTGTAGTGATTAACGTAGAAGCATGACTAGGGCCGTTTGGTGATTACCATTTACATAAATGAATCATATGGATATTTTATTGTGACTAACAAGATGAATCCTGTTCGTTCAACGTTACAACAAGTTCAAGTTGACACTAAGCTAAGCTATTTCACAGTGTTTCTTTAATTCACGCCTCTTTGTTATGCATTGAATTTATTAAGATTCGGACGACACTTATGTAAGTTTCCAAGAACACAGATGTATTAAAGAAATAAAGTCAAAGTTTAATAGTACACAATAAATATTTGAAAATGAAACTGTTTTAAGTTTTAAAACACAATTGAAAATGTTGTTTTACTTGATAATTATTAAATAAAACAATTTTTGTATTTTTTTTATTTTTCTGGGGCCAAAATTAGCCATGTTGGGATTCCATGGCGGAGACATGTTGTATTGACCCGCGAATATTGGACCTTTTAATTTTACCTTTGACATCATAAAATCGTTACAAAGGCGTAAATAATAAAAAATTAAAATGGCATCTGGGCATATTGTACCAAGGTACAATCCTTCCAGCTTTCAAGTCAATCCACCAAGAAATGAAGGAATGGCGGTCGGTTGAAAAGTATTTGGAAGAAGAACAAAGAAAGAACAGAAACAAAAGTATGTCTTTCTGCGAAGACATAACAACCCCCAAAAATATATATTTTGGGTTCCTGTGCAGTCATATTTACAGCAATCAAATATGTATTTTCATGCATCGAACACACCGATATACAAAAAAAAGTTGGATTTGTCCATTTTAAGTTTTTAAGGGGGATCAGAGCTCACAAAAAAGCATAATTTTGGGTTTTTGGTCAATTACTCAGCTATATTTTGACCAATTTACATGGGAGTTAGTACAAATATACTTTTCTACAGGTCCCACACATTGACAAACAAAAATTGTGGATGAGCTGCTCAGTTGTAATACTTGAAGGGGGGGGGAGGGGTCAGTTGCTACAAAAAGCATAATTTTTGGGTATTTTGACAATTACTCCGCCGTATGTAAACTAATTCAAATGGATTTGGTACACAAATATAGACAATTTTGATATTTTTATCTTGTGCTCAATTTTTCAGCGAGGAAAATACAATTTGGGGTTTTCTTGAACTATTAATATATATGTCAAACAACTTATATGAGATTTAGTACAAAGATACCTTCTTGCAGGTCCCAAGCAGTGATATAGAGAGTATTAGGTTTTTTGGGGGGGTCAAAATTAGCCATGTTGGGATTGCGTGGCGGAGACATGTTGCATTCGTCCGCGAATGTTGGGCTCTTTAATTCATCTGTTTTATGTATTGAACTCCTGGCCATGTTGTACGTTGGTGGTGATTTTCATATTAATTCTTATACAGTATTGTGGCCATGATAGAGCAGTTAGTACTTATTCCACGAGTTAATTCACGTTGTTCTTTTTGTTTATTTCAGTAGAGTTATCCGGGTCATGACAAAGCAATTAGCTATTGTTTTACGTATTTAGTCGTGGTGCTCTTCATATTTACTTTTACAGATATGCTATACATTTTGGCTATACTGAGTTTAGGGGCTAACATATCTAAGCAGTTACATATTAACAGATATCTTAAGCAGATATTTTTCAAGTACAGCAAACTTTTCTTGCAAGGGACTAAATGTTTGTTTGTTTTGAATTTCGCGCAAAGCTACACGAGAGCTATCTGCGCTAGCCGTCCCTAATTTAGCAGTGTAAGACAGGCAGCTAGTCATCACCACCCACCGCCAACTCTTGGGCTACTCTTATACCAACGAATAGTGGGATTGACCGTCACATTATAACGCCCCCACGGCCGAAAAGGCGAGCATGTTTGGTGGGACGGGGATTCGAACTCGCGACCCGCAGATTGCGAGTCGAGCTCCCTAACCACCTGGCCAGGACTAAATGAGAATGAATAATTGTACTAGCAATACAAGTGTATAAATCTTCATTGACTCTTAGCTACAGTAAATTATTAACACTGATAACAAAATATTATTATATATTATAGTTAAACGTGTTTTGATTTTGCGGAATAACTGTATACATTATATTTGTTTGTTTGTTATTAAGCAGAAACCTACGCAATGAGCTATCTGTGCTGTGCCCACCGCGGTTATTGAACCCGATCATTTGCGTTATACGTCCTCCGGCTTACCACTGAGCCACCTGTTGGCTTATACATTATAATGAAGTTTCAAATGCCGAATATGTAAAAGTTTCTTCGTCACTTTATGATTAAATAATGCAATTAAACAGATATTAAAGTGATACTACCACGGCTTCAAATTATATCGTTTTTATTCTGCGTTGGTAGAACTTTTATTAGTATGGATTAGTAAATAGAAGTTTCATTTTTGATATTAGTAAATTTATGTTTTGTAAAGTCAGAATATCTTCATCTTAAATTTTTGAACCACGCATTTCTTAACATTAATGAATTCGTATATTCAGCTACTAAAGGTTTCTTTTTAGTTTCGAAATAGTCCAATGTATTTTTCAGATTTCGTTTACGTTTGTGGTTTATTAAAGGCAAAAAAGAAAGGTAATCAAGTTCAGGCATTTATAAGAGTACTGTAATTTGAGTGCAGGTGGAAATTATTGTTGATTTACAATGGATACGTTATAAGTGCAGGTGGAATTATTGTTGATTTACAATGGATATGTTATGAGTGCAGGTGGAAATTATTGTTGATTTATAATGGATATGTTATGAGTGCAGGTGGAATTATTGTTGATTTATAATGGATATGTTATGAGTGCAGGTGGAAATTATTGTTGATTTATAATGGATATGTTATGAGTGCAGGTGGAAATTATTGTTGATTTATAATAGATATGTTATGAGTGCAGGTGGAAATTATTGTTGATTTATAATACATATGTT